CATCTAGCCCCGGGCCTGGCGCAGCAGCTCCAGCCTCATGGTCCCATTACGGTCTCTCCGAGCAAGCATACAAGGCATGAACGAGATTCCGCTATTGTCTGTGGTGTAACAACGATCTCCACGACACAATGGCCTGCCAGTCGAAAGGCAAGGGCAAATCGGGAAACTGAGCACCGTCGGGATTGACTCGACGACACTCTCGACGCCTTCGGAACCGGTCACTTCGTGGATGACAGCCCTTCGTTTCGAGGCACATGCGGAAGTCGATAGCCCTCCTCTTCTTTATTATTTTGAGGACTATGCTGCCCGACTCGTTCCTACACTGGGTACTCATGCTCAAGGACAAGACGTGTGTGCGGCATTTTCTTCGTCCAGCAACAACAACTTATCGTCTTCAAGTGGTTCGTCACAGGATTCGGCGCGCGAGTTCAACATAGAGGTATTGGACCCGCTCACGTCTGAGGATTTCACATGGCTTCCTCTCCCGACCACGGGCCGCTTGCCGGGACCTCAATGTGCATCGTTATGCGCTCATCTTCACACGTACCTATCCTTCTATGCACCACCAACTTTGCCGACGGATGACGAAGTCGCGGTGGGGGACATCCTTGCATATGTTACCAAGGTGGCCCGCGAGTTTCGCAATCCGCGGTACGACGACGACAACGCACCGCTCCTCTATGTCCACGTCCAAGTTGGGCAAGCGTCCTGCAACGCTTGGCTGGATAGCGGCGCGTCTCGCAATTTTATGAGCCAAGCGTTTATGCAAAAGGCTGGCCTTGGCGCACAAGTTCGAAGGAAGGCAAACCCGACGGCGATCAAGTTGGCGGACGGAAGGACGCAGCAACTTATCATCCGCTACATTGAGGCGGCACCGGTGTATTTCGCACCTCATGCATGCGAACCGGTGACATCTAACATTTTGGACACGGACTTCGACATTATTTTGGGAATGCCTTGGCTTGCAAGTGCGGATCACACGGTCAACTTCCACCGGCGGACTCTTACCGTTCGCAAAGCCTTCGGCGCCGAAGTGTCGTGTACTGTTCCTCTTCCGCACCCTTCGATTCGGTGCCAAGGGTGACGGCCAAGTCATTCCGGGCTACTTAAGCTTACGAGCAGCCCGACGAAATTGGCCTATGTTTCCTACGGACCGTCGCGGTAGCCGGCTCTTCACCCACAGACTTGTCTTCGTTACCTCCATGTGGTGCGCCGACGTCTTCGAGTCACCTACCGGTGTGGTGCCGAATCAGCCGATATCTCACGAGAGCATTCTCAAGGCCGGTGTCGTGCCGCCGAAAGCTTGCATTTACCGCATGCGTGAGGAGGAGTTTACGGTCCTCCGTGGGCAACTCGATGACTTGATGGACAAGGGCTGGATCCGCCCTAGTAGCTCCCATATGGAGTGCCAGTTCTCTTCGTACAGAAGAAGAACAAGGATCTACGACTGTGCATCGACTTCGCAAGCGCTTTTGGCGGCCTGGCCTTCTCGGCAACGTCACACGCTATTGCGAGTCATGTGAGGTTTGTCGACGCTGCAAAACCCGCAACCATCGCCCGTACGGCGAGTTGCGACCATTACCGGTCCCCTTGCATGGGAGGGAAGCGATTACCATGAACATTACCGGGCCGTTCCCCAAGCAGAAGACCGGTGTGGATGAGATTCTTACGGTGGTCGACCGACTCACCAAGTTCGCCATGTTTTTGCCTTGCCGCTATCATGCCAAGGCATCGGAATTGGCCGAGGTTCTTTATGCCGGTTGGATTCGAACCAAGGGTTACCCCAAGGAAATCGTCTGCAACCGCGTCACTTCGTTTATGTTCGATTTTTGGTTGGCGCTCATCAAATGATGGGGCTCATCTCTCAAGCCAAGTTCGGCTCGCCTACTTGGGATACTTTGCGTACTGCACCCCGAAGATGCAAGGCAAGCCGGTATCTTCAGCTCCATGTCGCACTCACGTCCAGGTTCCACCTTCAGATCGTCAGCTTCGCCCTTGACCCGGCTTGACTTCATAAGGAGGGGGGGGTGTTACATGCTGCGCCTGCCACAGGCTGCAGGGGCCATTTTCAGGCCCGTGTTGTTTTCAGTTTGAAAGCCTGAAAACAAGGGCCTACAGGCCCCGTGTTGTTTTCAGCCTAAAAGCCTGAAAACAAGGGCCTCCAGGCCCTGTGTCGTTTTCAGCCTGAAAGCCTGAAAACAAGGGCCTACAGGCTCTGTGTTGTTTCAGCCTAAATCAGGGCCTTTCCGCCCCTGAGTCTTTTCAGCCTGAAACGGAAGGCCATTTTCAGGCCCTCATAAGATCGACCTGCCCTGAAACTCAGGCACCAGACCAGGGTTTTAGCTCAGGCCATTTTTGGCATATTTTCAAGACAACCTTTGTTTGAGCTTCAACCCCAGGGTCTGGCACGTTTTGGCATTGGCAAGAGTAGCCTCCTGGACGGGCCAGCACTATATAAGACTGGCCCGCCCTGCAGGCTGCAGGTAGTTCTTAGGTACTTCCCAGGCACTTCAGGTGCAGTTCAGGAGGCAGGAGGTAGTCTTCAGGATTCGGCAGCAGCACTCTGTAGGAGCGCTGCAGGAGTAGTAGTAGCGTTAGCAGTAGTCTTCAGCGCTGGGCGCTAGTAGCGTTAGCTGTAGTCTTCAGCGCTGAGCACCATAGCAGCTAGAGTAGTACTATAGAGAGAGAGATTGGGCGGAGGCCAGAGAGACTTACCTGCAGCGCCGTTGCTCTAGCTTCGTCTTCGAGGTACCTGCAGCACAGCGCCAACTGCACAGGTTAGTACGTGGCATATGAGAGAGAGAGAGGGAGAGAGAGAGAGAGAGAGAGAGAGTTCTTCTTCTTCCTCTTCTCAGTCCACCATCTCCATCTCACCCTCTTGCCACCTGACTTCACTGCATCAGCAGACTATGAGAGAGATAGAGAGCTTGGTGACGTTTGGATCCAGACTCGACATTGGACCTCAGACATTTTGACGAGGGATTCTTTGGGACTTGTAACGAAGACTTGGTGTTGACAACTTTCCCATCTCCCCCCTCCTCTTCTTCGTCTGTTTCCCTCCTCTTTGTCTGTGCATGATCTGGACCTGGCGCCTTCTTCCTGTGTATAGCTCCAGGCTCCATTCACACTTTGTGATGAGAATGATGTATGTTGGGTCTGTGTTGCAACATTGATTGGGCTGGTCATTGGTATTCTGGCATTCTGCTACGCTATCTTGCACTATGTGATAGAGGTCAGTTTTGGTCAAGTCAGGACTTGTATCTAAGTCTTCCCTGCGCTATACAGCACCATGTTTGTATGTATCAGAATGTACATTGCTTGTTGAGATTCTACTTGCACTGCATTGTCCATTCAGTCCTTTTCATCACATTGCGGATCCTCGGGTACATCGGCCAACTGGGCGTGTAACACACACACACACACACAGAGAGAGAGAGAGAGAGAGAGAGAGAGAGCTGGTGCAAGCTCTTCCCTGAAATCCTGACCAGCGTGGGCATGCACTTGCTCGAGAGGGATAAAGAGAGAGACCCTCTCTCTCTCTCTCTCTCTCTCTCTCTCTCTCTCTCTCTCTCTCTCTCTC